TCGATAATAACTTAGCAGTATTTTATTGGTTACTATGAATAAAGTTTTGAAATTGGCTTATTTTTTATATTTAAATTAATTAAAAGTATTTGGTTACAGTAGTGCCTTGTGTCATATAAAGTTTGAAGTTATAATGGATTTGATAAGCGCAGATGGTTCGCTCGGTCATGTTTAGTGATTGGGTGCCGGTCCCGGCTTGTTCAGAAAATAGGTCGTGACAAAAGATTTAAGTAATTTAATCCAAAGTTATAAAATATTTTACTATTAAAAAGTAGATAATATTTCTTTCTTTTTTATTTTTTATTTTTTTGTAAAATAATTTGTACTTTTTTCTACAAACTGCAATATTATTATTATGTATTCCACTATTAATACTTTTTGGGGCCTCAAAATTTTGAAGGCCTAAAGCAAAGGCTTTACGAACCTCCCCTTGAGCCACCTGTGTTGTTAATACCTAGGGTCTGAAGGGGCATTTGCATCTATACCCGCTTTTTGGGTCACGTTTTAACTTGTGCCCGCTTTGCAAAAAAAATTGCAAGCGTACCCACTTTTTCGCGTAACTTCAGCATACGGGGCTGAAGTAGCAAAGCCAATCACGCAAAACTTCAGCATTCTAGTAGACGGGCCTGAAGTAGCAAGTGTGCTGAATCAAGTATGCTGAAGTTTTTTTTTTTTGTAATTGCTGAACTTAAGCATAGTAGCTGAAGTTTTGTTCTCTATTTGTTGAAGTTTTTGTTTGTAATTGCTAAACTTAAGCATAGTAGCTGAAGTTTGTTCTCTATTTGCTGAAGTTTTTATTTGTAATTGCTGAACTTAAGCATAGTAGCTGAAGTTTTGTTCTCTATTTGCTGAAGTTTTTGTTTGTAATTGCACTAAATAAGCTGAAATTTTTTGTCCTGGATTCATTAGTTTTATCATTAAGCTTTTTCAAAAACATCAGCAGAAGATGCTGAAGTTATCTAGTTCATTTATAAAAACTTCAGCACTAAATAAGCTGAAGTTTTTTTGTCCTGGATAAGCTTTTTAAAAAACTTCATCAGAAGATGCTGAAGTTATTTAGTTCATTTGTAAAAACTTCAGCACTAAATAAGCTGAAGTTTTTTTGTCCTGGATTCATTAGTTTTGTCATAAAGCTTGTTCAAAAACTTCAGCAAAAGATGCTGAAGTTATTTAGTTGATTTGTAAAAACTTCAGCACTAAATAAGCTGAAATATTTTTGTCCTGGATTCATTAGTTTTGTTATAATCAGACTACTATAAAATAATCAGATTGCCAACAGTATCTAAATCATAAAATTTTAGAAATAAATAAAGGTAAAAAAAACAGAATTATCATGAAAAGAATCACTAAGAGTGACCTTAAACTTCCCATACGTGAAAATATTCACAAATTATTGTCTACTAACTTACGTAATTATTTATAATTTGTTTTTAAATAATCTGATAAACATACTTATGGCAATCATCCCATGAACTGAAGTTTCATAGCAGCACCAACAGCAGAAGAAGAAAGAAGAAGAAGAAGAAGAAGAAGAAAACGAAGGAGGAGAAGGAGGAGGAGAAAAGGGGCTGAAGTTGTTTAAAAAGTGGGTACAGGTTAAAACTTTTTAAAAAATGGATATAGGTTAAATGGTGGCGACCAAATAGAGCCCCGTGCAATTTTTACGGGTCTGAATCACTGGTGAACTGAGAAGGTTTTGATGGTTCACTATATCTAGCTGGCTCTAGGTAGTAATCGGTTATCAGAGGCCTATTGTGTGCTAAGTCCTCAAGTCTATTTTTTTTAAGTCCGATAGAAGTGTCATTTTTTGTTGTTATTGTTCTTGTCTAGGTTAGCTATACGTATTATACTGAGAGAACATCATTTATAGCCCATCGGGCCAAACAAATAACATCCGGTAGCCATAAATTGACCCATACAAGTCATAGCCTAAAAACAATAACAACTGCTAGCCGGAAACCTCACTGACCGAATTCCCTCGCCGGAAAATCCTAGAACCAGCCAGATCTAAGAATATCTGGACTTTTGCCCGTTAAAACAACAGCAAAACGCCGAAAAATTCTAGAACCGGCCAGATCTAAGAAGATCTGGACTTTTACCCGTTAAAATAACATCAAAACAAAGGAAATAGAGATGAAGGAGGAGAGGAATGGCGTATCAATAGCGTGGAACAGTCTTTGTCGATGGGGGTAATACCGTCGCCAGCCAGTGGTCAACTCCAGCGGTGACTAGTAAAAATCAGTAGCAGCACCCTATAGGGAAGAAGAGGAAAGCAAGAGGAGCAGTGTGTAGCATAAGGCAACGAGAGAGACAGCCTTGTCTTCTTTCTCTGATTTTCTCTTATAGTTTCTGTCAATATGTAAATAATATTTTGAAGATCTTTGGCTAAAAATTTAAAACTCCGGCAATCTTGTTACCATTTTCGGCGACTGTGAGGTCATGGACGCCGGTGGCTGGTTTCTCAATGAGAGGAAGAACAGAGGAGATGACTATGCAAAAAGTTGAAATATCTACAAAATAGACTGTCATTATACAAAAATTATATAAAATAGACTGTCACTATACAATTTATATATATATATAGACTGTCACTATACAATTTATATACAAATAGAGTGTCACTATACAAAATATATACAAAAAAAGAATGTCATTATACAAAAAATATACTAAATAGACTGTCATTATATAAAATATGTACAAAATAGACTATCACTATATAAAATTACACTAAATAGACTGCCACTATATAATTTATATACAATTAACTATCACTATACAAAATAGACTGTCACTATACAAAATAGACTGTTACTATACAAAAAATATACAAAATAGACTGTCACTATACAAAAAATATACAAAAGTAGACTATTATTATACAAAAATAGACTGCTATTATACAAAAATATACAAAAATAGATTGTTATCATACAAAAAATATACAAAAATAGACTGTTATTATACAAAAAATATACAAAATAGACATTTCGTATATGACCTGCATTACATATTTCATTCAATTCTTAGCTGATACTTATCAGATTCAGAAGTACAAAATACAATTTAAAAAGGCAAAAAAAGGTTGCTCTATCGCGCCAGGTAGGGGTCGAACCTACGACCTTCTGCTTAGGAAACAGACGCTCTATCCACTGAGCTACAGGCGCTTGTGTTGTCATGCTCATTCCTTTCGGCTACTAGATGCAATATGTTTGGGCAGAAGAGCCATTTTCTGTAAGTGGGCCAAAACATGGGCTATTAAAATTTGAGGAGCTATAGAGTGTACTTTTCTATTATACTCTCACCCAAAAAAATTGTCACTCTAAACATTGTGTTTTATGTTTTTAGCCACTATACCCTAAAGTTCAGTATTTAAGTTCAAAACTTAAGGATACTATATTTTTAAATTAAGAGCCCGTTTGAACATACAAAATATTTCTTTTTTCCAAATGTTTTTTTAAAAACAATGTTTGGTTATCAAAATCTTCCCAAGTTTTCCAATTTCACTTGGAAATGCATTTTCAAATTTGAAAAACTGGTTCTTACCAGTTTTTCAATTGAAAATGAGGATTTGCTAGTTTTTAATTTTACAAATTTAGCCTACACTTTAAAAATTTATAAAATGACCCCATCAATTATTAACCTACATGTTTGATAACAGTGGTACTAGCAGTGGGAAGCGGACTATGTTAGAAATATGATATTGATTTGCATCTTCTGTGTATTGCAGTAAAACAGAATATGATAATAGTTAAACAATAGCATGTTTAATTGTGTTATTTCAAGTAGGATAATCAAATTGGGGTGGTTTTGATATTTTTTTTACACTTTATGCGGTATAAATTATGTTTCATAATTTTGAAAAAAAGACATCCAAATATTTTGCAAAGTTTATAAACAAACACAACTTCATCTTCAATTCAAATTTTAGTGAAATTCCAAATTTAAAATTTTTTTTGTTGGAATTTATGTCCAAACGGCTACTAAGTTTTTAATTTCAAAACTTTAGGACAAGAAAACTACTGGCTAAAGCCTACTTGAACTAAAGAGAGACAAATCCTGCACTTCACTCCAAAAAACAAAAAAAAAAACAAAAAAAATCGAGCCAGTGTTAAATTTGTAGCCCTGGCGAAAATGTGTTTAATTGTTAGGCCTTATGGCGATCCGCTAGGAACTCCTGATAATCCGACAGCAAATTCCCTGGTGATTTGTCAAGAAGTGCTCCAAATACTGACCACAAAGACTTAAGCTCCCTTTTGGCGATAGATATTTAGCATCGTTTTTTCAAAAGAATTTTGAAAATATTATTTGTTTACGAAATATGATCATGTCTTGAAAAAAAAAATTCAAAAATTTTCAAGTTCCCACAAACTGGTTCAGGGCAGTTTTTGGGTGAAAATTTTTCTTCCCTTCACAAACTTCAACTTTTCTTCAAATAAAATGCATGTCCAAACACAACTTCAACTTTCAAAAATTATTTTTCAACACAACTTCAAAAACTCTTTTTTTCAAGTTTCAATCAAATCTATGTCCAAACGCTAGCTAAAAGTTAAACAATTTATTAAGCGGCACCAAATGGGGATAAGCGAGAAGCCGAATGCGACGTGGCATACCTGAAAGCCCTAAGAAATGCATAGGAAAGAAGGTCATATTAACCCCGAAAAAAGTGATCCAAAATTTATCTATTGGCATCCATACTCCAAAAAGGTTGAATGGTGCACCTGGTTAAAGGTTAAGTTATTTTCCCAAAGTAATAAGGATCGATTCCTACTTACTACTCTCAGGGCACTTTGATGTGTTGTTGAAGAAAGGACTAAAGGTAGTAGGTGGAAGTGCAATGGAATAAAGCAATAACAACAACAACAACAACAACAAACCCAGTATAATCCCACAGGTGGGGTCTGTGTAGGGTAGTGTGTACGCAGGCCTTACCCCTACCTGGAGAGGTAGAGAGGTTGTTTCAAATGGAATAAAGCAATGTAAATGTAAATTCGCAGGCGTAACAAAGATTTCCTTGTATTCTAAATCTTTTGTAGGAATAATATCATTAATCACCTCAGTACAATGTAAAATGCAATTGCTAAGTATTTTCTTGTACCGATACCTCCACAGGATTGCTAATTTTAATCTCCCAATAAACCTTCTAGCTACACCTGAAATGACACAAGTTCCGTCGCTTACTATGTTCTTGCTTTCCATGAAAGCACAAAGCTCACTTGCAAGTGTTGATGGCATCTCTTTAATCTCCACGAGTTGATGAGTTTCTTGAAATTCATCTAGGATGACAAGCAACTTACTGTCTTCTTCAGCTGTTGTTGGAAGTGTCGAGTATAGTTCTGCATTTCTTCGCTAGCCATCTCATTGCAACAACTTCATTCTCTGATGAAAGTTGGTATCCTGAATAGACTAGGTGTGCAACTGGCCTGCGATTGCTTTGAGGGACTGCCCAGATTCGAACTGTTGATAGTAGCGCAAAGGATGGTTTCCCATCTGGTTGAATGTAGAGTGACTCGCTCTCCCATGAACACAAAGAATACATGTTTCGCTCTAAAGGTATAAAAGTCTTGTCATTTGGGTTGTCGGAAAGAATAAATCCGTAGTGTTGAAGAAGCTCCAAATTTGTGTAAGTTCCATAGCTTAGAAGAACCTGCAGTGTTCAATCAAATCGGAGCTTTAGTCCAAACTCTCTCTTTTTTTTTTATTTGATAACTGAGAAATCCCTAAGGGCCAACAGCGCATGGTTCAAAAGCTTGCCATCTACCATTCTACACTTAACTATCACGCTTTTGCCTGCCACAAGGTTCAAATCATGTGCTACGTTCTTCCCACTAAACCAAAGCCTTTGGGGGGGGGGCAGGCATTAGCACAAACGTGTTCAAAAATTCAAAGGAAGATGGAGTTGGAGTTGTCTTAATCTATTTAAACTTCAATGACACTGGATTTCCAATTGCGATACATGTGCTGTTAATCATTGAAGTTCCTAATTTTCTGAATATCAAGTAAAAGACCATCCACTACAAACAAATTTTTCATCGAAACGAGCCATATAAGTTATTTAACTCCATGCCATACAGACGAAGAAAGAAAAAGTATTCAAAAGGAAGGAATAACTTCAGCATCACCTGTTCTCCTTTCCGGTAGTTTCTTCTAGCATAGAAGCAGTATGAAGAAACGTCTTCCTCATATCCAGCATCGATTAGCCTATGTGCTGCGGCCAATTCAGTTACTGATTTAAGCATACTGTCTTCTTGCGATGAAAATGCCTCTCCAGTGACCTGATCATCGGAATTAGATGTTTCCTCTCCAGGTGCTGCGTAGTTGAAGAAATCTCCCACAGGGCAAAAACAGCCAGCTTCATCCCAAGGTATGTGCATGGTGCGCGAGGATATCTTCAGCAAGAACCTTTTTCATATTAAACTATGAATATAACATGAAAACTAGGGAACATATAGTAACAAGTGGCTGACAGACAGCGAATATTCAAGTACATGATGAATCAAGATACAATGAGTGGTCAGAGTGAACCGTGGATCAACCATAGCATATGTAAATATTTCAATGAGTTGAAGCTTACTAATAAGAAACGCTTAACTTTAAAATGAAAAAGTTTTCCAAATATTAGCACGGGCAACTCCATACTTACAGAACCAGAGGCCCATAGCCAAGCTTTAAGAGCCAGGAGCTGTGGCTTGAGCTTGAGCTCATGCATAAGCGCACTAACTTCTTTCCACTCCCCTTCAGCCTTCTGAGAAGCCTTTTGTGCAGACCAGATGGCATCATCAATCTAAAAAAGAGGAATTAGAAATATTTCAGACCTTTTAATGGTGTCAACTTTTGAATACATTTTAACTTGTAGGGTTTGCTACAAACTTGTAATGCTTGTATCTCGAAGTTGCCAAAATCCGCAAGTGTGTCATAACTGCGGGGGAACTGCTTTAGATAGGGCCACCACCGTGAACTCTTCCCCTTGTTCACTTCGTTTAATAGTGCAACAGCCAAAATCTGCAGCAAAAGTAAGTTAAGAAAGCAAAAAGATCAGACTGAAAGAAACCATCACTGCTGGGCGAACAAATCACAAAGAGCAGGGTAAGTGGTAACTGGTTAACCACTCTGACTGTGGAGATATGAGCAAAAGATTCACTTGCACAACCAAGGTTGCAAAGTGTTTACTACAGTAGAAACTGCAGACACAACATACATTCACTTTCTATAAAAAAAACAAAGCTTTTTCACTACACTTCCCAAAGCATTTTCAACACTTAATTATCAACGTTCACTTTGAGTGACACTTTTTCCGCTTTAAAATGTTCATTTCAGAATGTTATCTCACAAACTAATTGGGGCAGAGATTAGTAGTATAGTGAACAAGAATGGAGAAACTTTAAGTCCCAAAGCTTTACCAATTTGTTTTAAGGTCAACTAATATATAGCTTCATAATCTTTTATATTCAGGTAACACGTACCAGACATTCAGCAACACGTTTGAATTAACTTCACATTACTAGTTAAGCACCAAAAAACTCCAAAAAGAAAACCACTTTCTGGCTTTAGTCCATAAAATGCAAAACCCAAGTTTTCATTCTTACAGCTAAGTGGAGAAGAACAAAGAAGAATCACCTGAGTACAGCAGAGAGAAGGGTGTTTCTTGACAGCAATAGACAATGCCTCATCGTTTCTCATAAGACATTGACTAGTCATTAACACTCCCTTTGGAACTCTAAGAATCAGTTCTCCTTTCTTAATATCACGAGCTACTGCTAAACCTCTCCTGCAACAATAGAGATCATTCATCAGCTCATTTCTTTGTAACCGATAAATCTTCGAGGGCCACTGACACACAGTTTGAAGCTCGTCGGATAATGAGTCCGTCCCTCTACCCTTTTCCACTCAAATACCTGGCTTTTGTCAAGTTTTTTCGAACTCTTGAGATACGCCTAATCCACATTTTTTTAATCGAGGCCAGTGGCAGACGATTATAAACGCGTCTGGTGATGGGCCCACCCCTCTACCCTTCATAATACTAGTTTTTTTTACAAGCGATTGAACCCGTGACATGCCCCTAATCCACACACACTTGCTATGCTAATCAAAGGGTCAGTGGGACATGGTTCGAAACACGGTGGATAATGGGCATGCCCCTATCCACTTAAATATCATGCTTGTTTCAGTGCTCGAACACGTGACGTGTGTCTAATCCACATTACACATCACGTGCCGTGCTCTTACACGAGACCAAAGGCATCAGCTCATTTGTCATGTATACACAAATCAACCTTGTATAGAAGAGTATTTCAATTCATCATATGAAAAGTACTATAACACTCATTAATTGTTTTTTACAGTTGATTCAAGCTAGCATAAAGATACAAACTTTAAAAGAAGCTTTCTACTATATCTGTATATAACTCTTCCAGTACAGTATGAAAAAGAATAGAATTGTGATAAATATTGTACCCTCCAGCTTCAGGGAAATTAGAGACAAAAAGGGAGTATCCCAAACAAGAATCTGGTGATGGGGTTGAAGGAGAATCTGAGATTCCAAGCTCAGTTGCCCATTTCAAGAAGCTCTTCAGGTTCAAAGCTTCAGCTTCATCATCCATGGCGGCTTCTCTGTAAATTGGATTTTTCGTTTCTTTTTTCTTTGTTAACTATTTTCATCAATTTGGCCAATCCATTAAAACTGGGCTCAAGTCGAAAAGGAAAGGTTTTCAGGTGAAATATTGGTTAATAGCCACTTTTAACCCATGTTATTAGAATATAGCCAGTTTTTGGAAAACTATTAAGGAATCTTATGGAAATGTACCAAAATAGATATTATTTACTAATAACTAGTCATTTTAGTAATGCTACCAAAAATAGCCAAAAAGAGTTATCATTGATATACAACATTCAAAAGACATATGCAAAAAAGAGATTTTTTTTTTCAATGGGTAATGTTGCGATTCATTGATAACACATAGATGAGGCAATATATAAAATTTGAGTAAGATTGGGGGTGATTTGGATAGGTTTGGTATCAAAATTCGTAGTTAAAATCAAGTTCAAAAAATACTTCTGCAACACTTGTATCAAACATGTATCTCTCACACAAGTATACATGGATATACGTATGATACACATATGATACATATGTAATACACAAATGATACACAGTGTGATACATATATTATTTTTTTCATGTTCATCTTTTACTTCGAATTTTCAATTTAAACCACCTCAAAACTCCACCGAATCATCCCAAAATTGAGATTGCAACTTCTTAAAATGGACTCAATCTATTCCAATAACACCCACTTAAAAGAAAGCAAAAAATTTGACATTTTTTGGCTACAAATAGCTAATTGGCTAATATTGATAGCATTTGGCTAATATTAGTAAAATTTTATGAAATGGCAAAATTTTGTAATAAGTTGCTTATGGGTAGACATAACTGGTAGTTTTCCTAAATTACTCCTTCTATTTCAATTTAGACTTGCTATCGAGAGTTAAACTATGTGAAATTTGGCCAACATTTCAAAATATTTTTTTTAATCATATTGACACAAGAAAAATTGCAAGTATTGTTTTTGAATATCCAAATTTTAATTTAAAAAAATTAAAGTTGAACTAATCCAATTTAACTTCAAAATTTAGTCAAATTGACTCTCGATAAGCAAAATGAGTCATCTAAATTGAAACAGAGGGAGTAACATTTAGCCACTCCTTTCATAATAGAAAAGTACTTGGACAAAAATACCCCCAACACTAAAACACGGACATAACTTTAGTAATCGGGTTAGACTTCGAAAATTTGACAAGTGAAACCTCAGAAAACTATACTGAAGTTCAAAAATTTCTTTTTGAGTGAAAACCCAACATCATATGCTGGAGTTTGACACTTTTTGTATACGGTCGAAATTAGGTATGCCCGATTTCACGGGCTCGAAGATTCGCTTCAAGCCTGTCACGCCCGAACCATGGTCTGGGCGTAACACGGCACTCGGTGTCTGACTGCATGTGACCGAGCAAACCAGCTGTATGGCTGGATCAACACGTGGTGTAACTATGAGCTAGAGGTAAATATAAAACATGATAATCTACTAAAGAGTCTAACTGAAATATCATAGATGGGGAAAATACTGAAAGGTCTGCAAGTATAAACAAGTAGCCGACAAGGCTAACACATGAAAGCCTGCTAATATCCGACTGACTGGGTTATAGTCTACGAAGCCTCTAAAGAATACAGAAAATGCTAACTGTTTACCGGGACAAGGTCCCCGGTATACCTTATCAACTGAAATACTATAATGACTGATAAAGGGAGGGATAAGGCCCCGAAAGACTGGGGCTCACCAATAGCTGATACGAGATGTCCTAGCAAGCAGAATCGTCAACCTGTAAATCGTTACCTGCATCGCGAGATGCAGGCCCCGGGAAAAAAGGGACGTCAGTACATTTGAATTGCACTGGTATGTAAAACAACTGAAGAAAAGAATTGTAAATACTAAAACTGAAACTGAACTGCTAGCTGATAAACTAATAACTGAACAAGGAAGTAAGGATATGAATACTCCCTCTTCTGAATGATGAACAACCTATTTATCTGATAAACTACGACCTCGGGCCCAATATATATGTGCACAAGCTACGGCCTCAGGCCCAAAAATGCATAAAGCATAAACTACAGCCTCATGCCCAAGTATGTATAAAGCATATAAACTACAGCCTCAGGCCCAAATATAGGTGTTCAACATTCAGGAATTTAGAATCAGGAACTGAGAATCATACTGCAATACATGATACTGAAATAATAAGCCGTACCGAGTTACATGATACTGGAATAGTGAATAGGATTAGACTGAGATGAGTATTCATAATAAGTTGATTTGTCATAACTGAAACTCATAGAATATTGAATGATTATGAAACTATGCCATCTAGAGAATAGAAGTTCTACTACTATTCAGGGAACTAAGGCATAGTTACTTTCTGAGGAAACTAGTAATGGTCATAATGAATGGGACGTAGGGAGAATCATAGACATTCCCAAATGTAAAGATTTAGCCTCACATACCTTAACTTCCTGCTCTTGAGCGTAATACAACGTTTTTCAACCCTTTCAACTTTAATCTATAGGCAATACAAGTCAAAGGGATTCCATATTAGCTATGATGCTCATGTTTTGGTCACTTAAGCATCTTATCAAACACTTGGTGAACTCAAATGGTTATAATCAACATTATTCTTTATCACCCGTAAGGTAAACAACACCCTTAATCAGTAATCAACAATCAACACCCCAAACCTATAATTGTTCATGCTTTTCTATCAAACCCATCAACTCATATCTCATGAACTAGGGTTTATAATCATTAAACCAATGCTAGAATCAATTAGAGGGTGAAGACATTACCTTTTTGAAGTTCAAACCCCTTTGAATTCGAGTTCTAGGCTTCCTTCTCTCAACAATGATGTCCCAATCGAATATCTAATAATATGGAGGGTTTACCCATGTTAATAAGATGTTGGGAAATTGAAATTAACTTAGAATCACCATTAGAACTTACCTTGGGTGGTGGAGGGACCCTTAAGAAGTTAGGTTTTTGAGAGTTCCCCTTTCTAGAGCAAGTTTTTATGTTTTGGGGCTGTGGGGGACGAAGCAGGGCTTTAAAATGACCCCCCATGAGCTCCCCCGCGCACCTATGGGCCTGACCGCACTCCTGACCGCGCAAAATGGTAGTAACACTGCCTCAGGAGGAGCGCGGCCACGCTCAGAGCGCGCATATTGGACACTGTTCTGTAAGACGCACATAACTTTTTGCACAGAGATCCGTTTGGGATCCACAATATATCATTGGAAAGCTATTTCAAAGGCTACATCTTTCATGTTTTGAGGTTTCCCAAATATCTTACACATTTTCACTAAACCCTGCTGGAAGACAGACCTTCTGCAAACTTAGTCGATTTTGTCAAATCTTATGCACCTTACTTTCCATCTTGATTTTGAACCAACTATCTCCACCCATAATCATCCCGATGGAACTTCACATGTCCAAAATATAACCTTACTACTCCTTTAACTCATTCATACCTAAGCCAAATTTACGGGGTGTTACATTATCTCCCCCTTGTAATCATTCGTCATCGAATGATGGTCCTGGATGCAAATACGGCTATCTTTGGACATTAAACGGGTGTGATGGAGATATGTGAATACCGAAATATTATGAATACATGTATATCAAACTGAACGAGCACCTGATAACTAAATACTAAGCTGAGTAAATACTGAAGGACATGGAGATTATAATATAAGACCTGAATGGAAAGGTTAATTACCATCCACATTTTCCTTTTGCTCTTCAAAGAGATGGGGATATCTGGACTTCATGTCCTCCTCGGCTTCCCATGTAGCCTCTTCAACCTTTTGATTCCTCCAAAGCACTTTTACTGAAGCAATTTCCTTAGTTCTGAGCTTGCGGATTTGACGATCAAGAATAGCCACCGGAATTTCTTCGTAAGACAGGCTGTCTTTAACCCCTGTAATCTCTATAGGAACAACAAGTGACGGGTCTCCCATGAATTTTTCAACATGGACACATGAAACACTAGGTGTACAGTAGCTAGTTCTTGTGGCAATTCTAACTCATAAGCCACCTGTCCGATCCTTCGCAGGATTCTATATGGCCCAATATAGCGGGGACTAAGCTTCCCTTCTTCCCAAATCTCATAACGCCTTTCATGGGCGATACTTTCAGAAACACCCAATCATCAATTGGAACTCTAAGTCTCTACGCCGCACGTCCGAATAGGACTTTTGGCGATTTTCAGCCATCTTCAAATGCCTTTGTATCAAGTTGACTTTCTCCATAGCCTGATAGACCAAATCGGGTCCTAACAACTCCGCTTCTCCGACTTCGAACCAACCAATTGGTGATCTAAACCTTCGCCCATACAAAGCTTCGTACGGTGCCATCTTGATACTAGAGTGATAGCTGTTATTATAAGCAAACTCAATGAGAGGTAGATGATCGTCCCAATTACCTTTAAAATCAATAACACACGCCCTCAACATATCCTCAAGGGTCTGAATGGTGCGTTCCATCTGGCCATCTGTTTGAGGATGAAAAGCGGTGCTGAGGTTCACCCTTGTGCCCAATCCCTTCTGAAACGATTTCCAAAAGTTCGTTGTGAACTGAGCACCACGATCTGAGATAATGGACAAAGGAGTGCTATGCAATCGGACAATTTCTTTGATATACAACTTGGCATAATCCTCGGTCGAATCTGTAGTCTTCACTGGAAAGAAGTGAGCTGACTTGGTAAGTCGGTCCATAATCACCCAAATCGAATCATGCTTCCGGAACGAGTGAGGTAAACCTGTTATGAAGTCCATGTTTATCATCTCTCATTTCCAAACGGGAATTTCTATATTCTGAGTTAAACTGCTAGGTCTTTGGTGTTCGACTTTCACCTGCTGACAATTTGGACACTTAGCCACGAAATATGCTATATTCTTTTTCATATTGTTCCACCAATAAACCTCCTTATGATCATGATGCATCTTTCTGGAACCTGGGTGAGTAGAATACCTGGAATTGTGGGCTTCTGACATAATCCGCTCTCTGAGCCCATCTACGTCTGGAACGCATAGTTTGCCTCTATACCTCAAAGTACCATCATCTCCCCCTTGTTCAAAAGCCATAGTCTTATGTTTGTGAATTCCCTCCTTCAGCT